CTCCAACTCAAAAAAAAAAAAAGAAAGAAAGAAGGACAAGGAGGAGCCTGCAATGGTGCCCTCGGCAGTCCTGCTGGCCGTCTGCCAATGTCCCAGGGTCCCACGACCCACTCTACGCCTGCTCTTGTCGTGAGTTGGCACCTGCAGTCCCAAGACTCCCCCTGTGGGGCACACATCCCGGGGCCTACCGAAGCTGTTGGCAGGGTAGCGCTTGCGCAGCCGCTCCGTGAGCCGCGACACCTTGCTGCGCAGCACCTCGTTCTTGCTCAGGAACCCGTTGTCCTGCAGGGCCAGCTCGTCCTCCGCCGGGCACGGGACACCCTCGTCATCCTCCTGTGGGAACAGTCTTTCCAGTCCTGCCCACTTCCTGCAGGGCTGCGGGACGTGCACGCAGTCCCTGGGGGGTGGGACAGCAGCAGGCTGGGCCCCCTCCCCGCCCAGCCCCCACGACGCCTACTCACCAGCACCACCAGGTGGGTCTCCTGCCTCCCGAGGGCGGGGAGAGGAGAGAAAACAGAGAGAGATAGCGGGAGGGGAGAGGTGGCTGCAAGCGGGACCCTCCCGGCCAAGGAAACAGGGTGCTGCTCTGAGCTCTGGGCACCTCCCAAGGGGACGTCAACAGACGCCCCAAACACTCCAGCCGAAGTAGCCCTGGAGGAAGCTGGGTACTGCCGTTTCTCAAACTGGCTGCAATTAACTTAGTGGGTTATTATTTGAATGGAACAGAACAGAGTAGGAAAGGAAATATCCCTTACGATGGACTTTCAGGAAACTTGTGTTTCATGCAAGTTTTTCATGTTTATAGACGTGTGAACTGGGTTAAGACGCACAAGTGTTCCTTACTGTGGGTCATGACAAAAATGCTGGAAACCCTTGCTACACGCCCCCCAAGGCTCATGGTCTGCAATCATCTCTCAGGGTCATGGGTGATTTTCCAGCCAGGGCAGCTGATGCTCGCACGGCCTGGGCTGACACCAGCGCGCCACGAGCTGGTGAAGACGAGAGCCTGGAAATCTCCCCTCCTACATCTCGACCCCACTTGACAAGGAGACGTAAAGAAAGAAAAGCGACCTCCTGCTCTAAGAAAAAAGATGCAGACACATCTGCAGAAGTGACCCATCTAAGGGGGACAGTCACTCCTCAGCTATGCTCAGGGCTACCCGAGAAACTGGAAGCCTAGAGCCCCATGTTTAAAATGGGCTCATGACCCGCCTGGGCAACTTGGCGAGACCTCATCTCTACAATAAATCAAAAAATCAGCCAGGCGTGGTAGCGCCTGCCTGTAATTCCGGCTACTCAGAAGGCTGAGGCGGAAGGATCACCGGAGCCCAGCAGGTCGAGGCTGCAGTGGCCGGGAGTAGCCACTGCACTCCAGTCTGGGCAACTGATGGACTCTGAAGGACTCTGAAACTTCACGCCAAGCCAAACACTCCTGCAGACCAACAGTTTGAACCCTGTCTTAAATCAAGTCAGTCGTTTCCCTTCCCCTGCCCTAGCACTTGGCCATGCAGCCACTTTCTCCTACATCCCCTCCCGGCCTCCAAAGGAACACCTTACAGAATTCACTATAGACGAGCAGCGATGCAGGGCAGTGGCCTCCTCAAAGGTGCCTCCCTACTCCAAAGGCACAAGCCCATGGTCTCCGGCCAAGGCCAACGCCCCAAGGTCACCCAACTCCCCTAGAGGGCCTCTCCCAAGGCTTCCAGAGCCACTCCTGGCCTGACAGATGGCAGACCCAGAAGAGGAGGGTAAGTTCTAGTTCAGAGCAAGCTCTGGCTTCTCATTTGGATGTCAAAGTAATAATTTTAAAAAAAGAAACACACAGCCCAGGACCATGGAGCTTCTGACCTGGTCAGCAGAGAGTGCTGGGAAAGGTCACCCACCTCAATCGCATCTTTAAACTCCTCATCTGGCTCGGCCTCCTCAGCCTCCTCCACGCTGCCCGGCGTGAGGTCCTGGGAAGAGAGACTATGACAGAAAGAGGACAACAGCCTCGCTCCCGAGGGCAGAGGGTCGCCTCCCGAGGTCACACCAGGCTCCCAAAACACAAGGCAACGGCACGACTCCAAGAAGGAAGGAAGTCACAGGAAAGACAGCAGCCTCTGGCCCTGCCAGGGACAGGGAGACGGGAAAAGACCATGGCAGGCCCGCAGTAGCCATGTGGCAGTGGCCACAGCATGGGCTTCGCAGTCACAGTGCTGGGATGAGACCCAGCCCTGCCACACTCGCCCACCAGGAGGCCTTGGCCAGCCACTCTGACCTCAGCCTTCTCTTCTGCAAATAAGAATAATCTCATCCTCTGAAATGACCCGCACCCCATGGTGGTAACATCTATAATGTACTCAGAACAGCACCTGACACAGAGTAAGCGCTCAATAAAGCCAGAGCAGCTATTTTTATTACAATGGTTATTATGAAGCACTTCAGAGGAGACTGGCCTGGGAAGAAGCAGGAACTACGACAGAGGCCAGCCCAGGAGCCACAGGCTATGAACAAGCTGGGAACAGGAGTCCCCAGCCTGCCTGCAGCAGGCTCTGCCCCTGGCCAGGCACTCACCTCTGTTGGCGTGAGCGCAGGAGTGCTGTCCAGTAGAGCACCCTTCCCCCCTGAGTCCAGCGGGGACAGGTTCTCAAAGGCACGCTCTTCCTGCCTGGGGTTCATCCGCTGCTGCAGAGACGCCCTGTACTCAGACACCACTACCAGGGCAAGGAGAACAGGGCAGGAGGCAGAGACAAGAATGTGAGTGCCATTCTGGGGGAGGCGGCTTCCACCGATGGCTGGCCTCTTCCTCCATTCCCCCACCCTCTGCTGCCGGAAAGAGTCGCCCTCCTAACTCGGAGTAACCTAACTAAGCCAAGATACCAGACAGCCAGAGATTAAATGTGGCAAGCACTTGACAAATCATGGCTTCTGTTGTTAATTACTCCACCACAAGGAGGAAAACACATCCCACAGTCACCCAACTACGCGCAGAGACCAGAGCTCTGCAATTCAGACCTCTCCAGACTGTCTCAGCACTTCACAGAAGTCAGATGGCAGACAGGACTCTGGGATCACACAGAGAGGTGGCAGCAACTCCAGGTGGCTACAGCCCAGGGGGCGGGTGGCAGGCGTGGGAAAACATCCCTCTCATCTCCTGGAAGCCACCAGATCATATAAGCAGTAGTGATTCAGTTGCCTTGGGAAGGCAGCTGAGGCCTTCCTGGTGAGACATCAGCCTCAGCTAGCAGCTCAGAGACAGAGCCCACAAGAGGGAGGGCCCCAGCGTGGTGGTGCCCCGGTGGAAGGCACAGCATCAGATGCCTTGCTGCGGGCACAGATGGGCCGGGAGCCTAGTCCAGCCCTCTGAGCCAGCCCGGGTGCCTTCTCTGCCAAGCTGCCAGGGCCTTACCTCGGAAGAACTCCACATTTCCCAGAAACAGCGTGCTGTTCAGAAGGGCAAGGACCCAGCAGAACGGCAGCAGGTACAGCATGCAGATCGTGCCCAGGAGGGCCCCATAGAACCTGGATGGCAGAGGATAGGCATGGGTCAGACATTCACAGCAGCAGGAGGTGCCGGGCTTGAGCACATGCACACAGGGCTCCCGGAAACACATGGCTCTGGGCACAGCTGACAAGCAGGCAAGACCTGCGAAACACAGCAGTGGGAAGGAGTGACGGGGAAGAATTCAGAAAAACTGAAGCTGGCGAGGCTGCGGCAGCGTCTGAGGCTGGGTACACAACCTGGTTCAGCCAACAGCACTCCTCAGGGTCTGGATTCTGATGTCTAGAATCCGACAGAGTGAAATATGAGTCCATTTCCACTACCTTTCACTCTGAGAGGTCTCTCGGTTCTTAAGGCATGACTTCCTCACGTGTAAAATGAGACTCAAAGGAAGGTGACACACAGTTTGAGCAGCACCTGGCACAAGGTAGAGGTCCAGTGGCTGTTAGCTTTCCCTGCTACTCATATGTAAAAGGCCTCAAAAACACCCATTCTGTTTGATGGATGTTTCATCCTTGGATTTATTCTAAAAAATTTTTTAAAAGACTAAAGCTAAATAAAAATGTTCACCACAGGGTTAGAAATGAAAAGTAGAAATGAGCCAGGCTCGGTGGCTCAGCCTGTAATCTCGTGCTTTGGGAGGCTGAGGTGAGTGGATTGCCTGAGCCCATGGGTTCGAGACCCGACTGGGCAACTTGGCGAGACCTCATCTCTACAATAAATCAAAAATCAGCCAGGCGTGGTAGCGCGCACCTGTAATTCCAGCTACTCGGAAGGCTGAGGCAGAAGGATCGCCGGAGCCCAGCAGGTTGAGGCTGCGGTGGCCAGGAGCAGCCACTGCACCACTCCAGTCTGGGCAACAGAGTGAGACTCCAACTCAAAAAAAAAAAAAGAAAAGTAGAAATGGACTAAATATATAACAGAATGGGCCCATAAATTATAACATATTTGCCATCTATATGAATTTGGTATTATGAATAATTCCAAAGCCTAGGTAGCAACAAAGAAAAGCATTTATGATATAATTACAAGTGAAAAAGAAAGAAAAATCTAAATACACTATGAAGCTATACATCTATAAATATATGCATAGGGACTGAGCACAGTGGCTCACGCCTGTAATCCTAGTACTTGGGGAGGCCAAGGCAAGAGAACTGATTGAAGCCAAGGATTTGAGACCAGCCTGGGCAACATAGTGAGACCGTGTCTCTATACACTCACAAAACTAGCTGGGTGTGGTGGTGCACACCTACAGTCCCAGTTACTTGAGAGGCTGAGGTGGGAGGATCACTTGAGCACAGAAGTTTGAGGCTGTAGTGAGCTATGATCACACTACTGCACTCTGGCCTGGGCCACAGAGCAAGACCCTATCTCTAAAAAATATATATAAATAGCCGGACTCAGTGGCCCAGCCTATAATCCCAGCACTTAGGGAGCCCAAGGTGAGTGGCTTGCCTGAGCCCACAGGTTCGAGACCAGCCCAGACAACTTGGCAAGACCTCATCTCTACAATAAATTTTTTAAAAATTAGCCAAGCGTGGTAGCACACGCCTGTAGTTCCAGCTACTTGGAAGGCTGAGGCAGAAGGATTGCCAGAGACTAGCAAGTCAATGCCAGGGTGGCCGTGAGTGTGCCACTGTACTCCAGCCTAAGCAATGGAGTGAGACTTCAACTCAAAAAAAAAAAAAAAAACATACATACATACATATATATAAACAAAGCATATGCACATAACAAACTCTAGAAGGCAACCAGACACGAGATGGGCTACTCTCTCGGGACAGATTACGTGAAGGGTTTTCTTTTTTTTGAGTTGCAGTCTCACTCTATCGCCCAGGCTGGAGTGTAGTGGCACACTCACCTGCTGGGCTCCAGGGATCCTTCCACCTTAGCCTTCCAAGTAGCCAGAACTACAGACATGTGCCACCATGCCTGGCTAATTTTTGATTTATTATAGAGAAGAGGTCTCACCATGTTGTCCAGGCTGGTCTTGAACCCGTGGGCTCAGGCAATCCTCTCACCTCAGCCTCCCAAAGTGCTGGGATTACAGGTTTGAGCCCAGCCGAGAGTTCTTCTACCATTAAAATATGCTGACCACACACACCAGGAAGTATCCACACAGGAGCAGGGCATGGAGCCCACAAGCATAAACAGGATTACACATGGGAGCCGTCGCTGGAGCAGGGGAGTCCTCTCAAAGCACCAGCTCTGCTGAGACCCAGCGGCAAATCCCACAGGGCAGTGGTGGGAGGGGAGGGCCCACTCACTGTGAGGACGTCACGGGGTTCTCCCAGAGCAGCACACGGTAGGCGGCCTCGCAGGTGCAGCACAAGCGGCTCAGGAAGGCGTCCAGCTGGATCAAGCTGCAGACACAGGACTCTGGTCAGTAGGCAGGATAGAAGCCCTGGGGAGGCAGCGACTGGGACCTCACTCTCTCCAAGCACACCGGGGGGTCTGGAGAAACGGGCCTGGCCACGCCACCCAAACACCTCTCAGCACCCTCTGTGGAGCCCCTTGCCAAGCTGGAAATAATCTGAAGTCTCCTGCTTTGGTCTCACGCTAGCTCTTAGAGTCAGGCAGGTGATTCTCCTATTCCAGTGCTGCAGCTTCCTCATCTAGGAAATGAAGATCAGAGTCTCCACTTCACAGGGACACAGCAGCTGGAAGAATGGGGGCAGGATAGAGACCAAATGTTTCTCCACCTGGGATGTCAAAGAGGCTCACTTGGGAGTTTAAAAAAAAATGGATGCACCCTAGAAGTCATGAGCACATCCTACACCCAGACCTGGGCTTCTGAAGGGCTCTCTGGAGAAAGTCCATTCTAGGCTGGGGCAGGAAATATAAGCTGAATACGAGCATCCTGCACCATAAATAAGGAAGCACTCCAAGATGGCAGGAAAAGATGCAACAAGCACGGGAGCCGGTACAACAGATCTCCTATGGGTCAAATCTAGAACCACCTGAGATCAAGATAAATAATGATGGGAATAGATTCTAACTCATTAAATAAAAACATCTATGCATTCAGATTGATAATTAAGAAATAAGAAGAGCTTTCTCACAGCAGAGACAGCTAAAACCTGTAGGGGGAAGAAGATAGTTTGGACGGTTGTTCTATCACGTCTCATGTTGAAATGGGACCCTGAGTTAGAGGTCGGGACTGGTGGGAGGTGACTGGATCAAGGGGTGGATTGCTCAGCTTGCGGCCCGAGTTCACCACAAGCTGGTTGCTTGAAAGACCCTGCCTCCTCCTCCCTCCTCTCTGGTTTCTGCTCCTGCCATGTGATACACCTGCTCCTTCTCCACCTTCCACTGTGACAGTAAGCTTCCTGAGGCCTCACCAGGAGCAGATGCCAACTGTGAGCCAAATAAACCTTTTTTCTTCATCAATTACCCAGCTTCAGGCATTCCTTTATAGCAATGCAAAATGGACTAATAGAGCATGATGGAAAATCTTCACAACCATCATAGTAATAAACTCTGGATTTTAAAGCAGTGCATGACTGTTTGATGAATAAGATACAAGTCCCAAAGTTTCTCCCCTCAAACTACTAACTATAAAGAGTAAAATGATAATTTACAGTGTGGAAACCATAGCCAGTGATCCAAGTTAATATTTGCTGATTTACAGCCTCCTGATCGCATTCCTGCCAGAAACACACAAACCGAGTCTAGTCACAAGGAGCCAAGCGATCCAAAACTGAGCGAGATTCTACAAAACAACACACTTGCACTACTCAAAAAATGTCAAGGTCGGGAGAACAAAGACTGAGGAACTGCTCCAGGTTCAAGAAAACTAAAGAGATATAAAAACTAAGGTCAGATATGATCCTGGACTGGATCCTGGATCAGGGAAACTGACATAAAGAGCTGTGTTAACACAACTGGAAAAGCTGCTTATGAATTCCACATTAGGTCACAGTACTGTCCATATTATCTATGTGAAGTGTCCTCATTTTGATCACAGTACTATGGATATACAAGAGAACATCCTTGCTCTTAGGAAACACATGCTGACTATTTGAGGCAAACAGGCATAATGCTTACAACCTGATTTTGAAGAGTGCAGAACAAAGAAAACTACATATGTACAGAGAGAGAGAGAGGAAACAAGTGTGGTGAAATGTGTGTCCTATCCGGGTAAGGGGCACATGGGAGTTCTTGGTGTTATTCTTGCACATCTTCTAAGTTTAAAACTATTTCAAAGTAAAAAACGCTTTTAGAAAAACAGATACTCAGGTCCTGCTCCAGATAATTGACTCAGAATATCTGAGGCAGCCGGGCTCGGTGGCTCAGCCTGTAATCCCAGCACTTTGGGAGGCTGAGGTGAGTGTTTTGCATGAGCCCGCAGGTTCGAGACCTGCCTGGGCAACTTGGCAAGACCTCATCTCTACAATAAGTCAAAAAATTAGCAGGGCGTGGTAGCGCGCGCCTGTAGTTCCGACTACTTGGAAGGCTGAGGCGGAAGGATCACCGGAGCCCAGCAGGTCGAGGCTGCGGTGGCCGGGAGCGGCCACTGCACTCCAGTCTGGGCGACAGAGTGAGACTCCAATTCAAGAAAAAAAAAAAAGAATTTCTGAGGCAAGGACCAGATATCTGTTTTACTTATAACTTCACTTACCCTGCGGTGTGTCAAGGGACCACAAAAATGTCCATTGCCACTGCCACTGCTGCAGTTAATACTGTTCAACAGTCTTAAAATGCTTCAACAGCTCTGTCACGTTTAGGAAGTGTCTCCACTGTGCAGCAATGATGACTCATGCTTACTGAACACTTCCTGGGTACCAGACACTTGTTCAATCTTCACAACAACCCTGTGAGTGAGCCCTGTTATCATCCCACTTAACCAGTGAGGAACTCGAGGCACAGGGAGGCTGAGCAGCTTGCCCAATGTTACACAGCAAGTGAATGGAAGAGCTGGGATTTGAACCCAGGTCGCAGTTCCCGAGTGCATTGCTTAGTCAAGGCCCTAAACTGTCTCTCTACTAGAAACAGCTGTGACTTCAGCTAGACCTGGACTCTCATCCCAGCTGGTCATTTTCCAGTTGTGTAAGTAAGCCTTTTCCTTCCTCCATAAATGGAAGAGATTAGAAGCTACCTCTCAGGACTGCTAAAAACACTAAGCGAAGTGACAGCTGTGGCTGCCGGAAGCGATGTCTGGCGCACACAGCAGGTGCCCAGTGTGAGGGCTGCGGCTGTGGTCCCACCTCCCACCTCCTGCCACTCACCCCTCTTCCATACTCACAAGTTCTTCACCTCAGCCACGGCCTCAGGGCGAGACAGGCGCGCTCTCTGCAGGTCCCCCTGCCGCACGCTGTGATACTTCCTCCGCATCAGCTCTGACTCAGGCAGCCGCGTACGGCACACCTCCTGGAGGTAGCCCAGCAGGGCGGGCACTGAGATCACCAGGGCTCCTACTGAGTACCACGCACCTGCAGGATCAAGAACGCCACAGGTAACAGAGGTAAGCAAGGACCGGGAGCAGTCCCAGCTGCCAGCCTGCCCCTCCAGAGCTTGGCTGGGGAGGCCTTCCCTGGTCCCCTGTGTGGCTAAAAACCTCAGCCACTGTCAGTCCCTGACCCCAGTTTCGTCTGTCCTCACAGACCTCACCAGTACATGACAGTCCACAGGTATGTGCCCTGGCTCTTGGCTGATGTGAGCTCTTGACCCTGTGGTCACTGCTGTGTTACAGCCTCGTTTTTACACATCTGAAACACTTCTGGCACACAGGAGGCAGCTCGTGCTAGAGTCTGGCTGCTGGGATCTCCAGACCATCAACATTCAGACCTCTGGGCCGCTACGGCAGACTGCAATGGAAGCCTTTCCTTTGGCTTTCAAGGTACCACAGACCACTGTGGACTGAGAGCAGGTGAAGCTGACCCAAAACTCAAAGAAGGAACTCCCACGTTCCATGGCACTCCAGCAGCAAGTCAACAGGGCAGTGGCCCAAAACAAGTACTTGAAAATCACCATCTGGGCCGGGCTCAGTGGCTCAGCCTGTAATCCCGCGCCTTGGGAGGCCGAGGTGAGTAAATTGCCTGAGCCCGCGGGTTCAAGACCCGCCTGGGCAACTTGGCGAGACCTCATCTCTACAATAAATCAAAATATGAGCCGGGTGTGGTAGCGCACGCCTGTAGTTCCAGCTACTTGGAAGGCTGAGGTGGAAGGATCGCCGGAGCCCAGCAGGTC